ATGGATGGATGGATGGATGGATGGATGTTAATAATGCACGCTTGATAATATCACAAATAACAATGATGCTCCAACATCGAAACAACATATGACACAGTTACAGTAAAAGACTCTCTACTTTTGACACAATAAAATAATTTAAAGATGAATTTTTCTTCCTTCTTTTTCAGATTTTCTCCTCTAATTTTCTACAAATATTGTCGTGGATTCTTTAGTGAAACTCTGCTTTGACGACAGTCTTAGTTTCAGGTAAACTTGTATACACATGTTCACACTTCACGACTATTTGTATCATTTTCTATCCTTGTTTTTGTGTCTCCACCAACATCCTGCCAAACAGGCGTGAAGGTAATGATGCTAAATTATTCTGCTCCATTATAAATTTATAACCTCGATCAAATCAAAGCGTATTAGTCTGTCATCAATAATAGATGCGAGTCTGCAAATAAAACCAAACCCAGTCACTCATTTTGTGTGCAGTGGTTGATTCAGGCAGCAGCACACAGAGCTGCAGTCTGGGACGATCAAAGCCTGGATGACCTTAGTCAGTTTTGCGGAGGATAAAAAAAGACTTAATTTTGGAGAGACTGCATCTGTCTGGTTAAAAGAAGAAAGACTGTTCAACTCTTTTGCCCTCCTTAGCAAAGCTCCAATAACTGTCAACAGTCGCTGCTGAATTTTCATCCCTTGTTTTAAACGTGGATTTCTATCCTGCAATTCAGACGCTGAAGAAAAGAATAGATCTGGAAGTTAATCGCGGCGCTCTGAGATTACTGCCACCGCAGACAAAAGTGAACCATTTTATCCTTCTTTTAATACCTGAGGGATGATTTTGGGCCCGCTGCATGTACAGAAAGGCTTTTGTGTGCCGTTGAAATCGTCACAGTTAATATGGTTTAATGTGGGAGTCTCTGACAGCCTGAACAATCAGATGGGACATTATGATTATAGATTATACGATTAGGTTGAGTTCTTACAGCGAGACGACGTAAAAACTGAGCTCCGCAGAACTTAAAATCTGATCTTTATCTGGTTTCTTTTCCCATAAGAGACATATCAACACAAGTGTTGGGGTGTTAAGTGATTCAAGCAGACTTAAAGTGACTGGTTATAGCGTTTGACTCTAAAGATATTTGGTAAAACAGCTCCTTACAGGCTGAACTTGGGATCCTATTAAGCCTACTTGACAACATAAACAACATTCTGCATGTCCACAAAGTTTTTCTTCCAGACACTGACAATGAAGCATCTCCATGTTGCGTATTTACTCACTTCTCTGGTTTTAATTAGAGCTGTTCTCCACTATTAATTAACCCTCAAGTATTTTGATAATCCACCAGTTGGTTTTAGCAACTTTTAATTTAAAAAAAGTCAAAATTCTCTGATTCCAGTCTCTTAAATTTGAGTATTTTCTGTATCTATACCTCCATATGAACTTAAGACCTTCTGGTGTGGACAAAATAAGACATCCGAGGAAGTCATCTTGGGCTTTGGAGAAACACTGATCAATATCTTCTGACATTTTATAGCCCAAACAACTGATTAATTAATTGAGGGGTTAATCGACAATGAAAATAATCCTCAGTTGCAGCTGTGGTTTTAAGAGAGAAATGCTTCAGGCTTTGAGCCAAACACTGCTTAACCCTTCTATTACCTTTATATTTACGGACATCTTTTATCCTTGGGTTCAATTTGACCCCAGCAATTTAAACCTCCAGAAAATATCATAACTAAACTTGTTACCCAAGTTAATGTGTAAATAGCCCTTTAAACAAAACTGAACAAAAATATGTCAATGACTTATTTAGAGATGTTAAACACTGAATGGGGTCAGATTGACCCCAAAGATAACAGGAGGGTTAAAAAAAGTCTTCTAAAAAAGTTCTTAAAGTCCTGCGGAAACCAAATCCTTCAATATGTGTTCAGAAACAATGAAGTGAGACGTTGTGTTTGAGACAACAAACACGAGTAGCAGGCAGACTACACATTGTCACTTTTTAAATATAATTACATAATCCACAGACTACAGTCACAAGCCAGTGCTGCTTGTTTCCTGGCAACTTCTTCGCTCCAGGATGAATGAAAAGAAGTATTGAGAAGCAGGAAATGCCCACAGGATCAGATTTTCATTGAAAACCGAGGAGAGATGGTGAGTGAAACGCCTGAATCAGACACACAGAGCATCTCCAGCACAGTGGTGAGGAGAAGAATCCAAACAGCTTGACGGACGAGTACGCACACACGAGTAGTATCACTGTACTTGTACACAGCTCGATAATACTTGTGGTTCAAGCATGGGCATGTTTAGTTTGAACAAACTCTGAGAAGTTTTGAGCATTTAACACTTGATTTCCTGCATTCTGATGAATGTTTACGTACCAATCTGTGCCATCCCGGCATTAATTGATGCTGGAATGATATACAGGTACAATGAGTAAACAGTATAGGGTTTGTTTTTGTTTATTTTTTTAATGGGGTGGAAGGAATGAAGAGCTAATTTGCAAAAACAGATAACTAACTCCATCTTCACAAACCTTCAGAAAACCCACTTTTCCATCGTCTACCTGAGAAAATATCAATCAAACTTAAGCTATCTCTTGTTTTGTCATTTCTACCGAGTCAAATCCACTCAACTTCAGTTTGATTGATATTATCTCAAGCAAACAACAACAAAAACAAGTTTTCTGAAAATCTGTTTTTGCAAATAAACTCTTCAGATGCACATTTTCTAAATAGAAAAGGAGATCTGTGCATCACCTCCATAAATCTAGTAAATGTGCATGAACTTAGCAAGTACTTTCATGTGTTTATGCATTATTGCATTCCCTCACCAACGTTATATCATAGTAGGAATTTAAAAAAAAAAAAAGCAACAACTACACAAGTGTCCCCAAATACACTTTGCATTTTATGTAACCTGTGTGATAATGTGATTTAAAGTAGACGATCTAAATAAGTCACTCCCCTGTTGTGCAGCGAGCAATAAAGCTGTGGATTCAAGAGCAGTTTAAAAGGGGTCACTTGGAAAGACCCCAGGGGCTCTGACATGTGTTAACAACATGCACAGCTGAGCAGACATGCACAGTCTGCTTTCAGCTGCAGAGATGCTCCTGACAACAAAAAAAAGAAAAAGGAAACTTTGAATAGGAAGTGGATGCTGCTGGAAAACCCTGATTCACGATGCCCAGCAGTGCGTGTGTGTGGTGCAAGCTGTGTACTCACGCCCTGGTCTTGGGGAAGCCCATGGACAGCAGCACGTCCAGAGTGGAGCCGTGTTTGACGGTGCTCGGCCGGCTCTGGCGCTGCCGCCGCGGGGTCACTTTGGCATACAGGTCCTCTTTGGCTGCCATCGCTCACTGCTCCGTAGGCATGTCAGGTCCACGGCTGCCCTGGGCTGTGGTCATTTGGTGGAGAATTTAAACAAAATAAAAATAAAATAAAATAAAACAAAACAAGGATGGAAGCTTCTGTTTTAAACCAGCCTGAGTTGGGTTAAGAGGAAGAAATCACGAAGGAAGCGAGCATGTTTGTGGTTCGCTCGGAGCTGGATCGAAGCCGCCGCCGGACGTGAAGCCCAAACATCAGCCATGAGAAGTGGCTCCTGCTCGGCTCAGCCCCCCGACAGAGGTGGACATCTCTGACTCCGCTGAATGAAAAATCAGATGCTTCCTTTCCAAACGATGTCTTATTTCTGAATGGGTGCTGAGTGAGCGCGGCTCCAGCCTGTAGGAAGGCTGCGGCTCGGACTGCGCGGCCCCTCGCTTAAAGGGACAGGACGCCGTTTTGTGAGAGGACCGCAAAATCTGCGCGGCTTTTAAAGCCAATGCGGCGGAAATTCAAAAGTAAACGCTCGCTTCGCCCGGTGAAGATGTGCTTTTAAGAAACACGTGCGACAAAAGAAAGCGGGTTACCGGAGTCGGTGCGGCGAAAAGTGCGAACGTGGGGCTACATGGTGGAAAAAGTTGCTCACATTTCCTGCCTGCGAAAGCGGGTGTCGATGGTCCGCGCATGCGCAGTGCAGGGCAAAGCGAGCAGCACGCCATCATCAGTTGCCACAGCAACCCCCTGGATTTATCCCGTATATACTATATTTTTTAAAAGTTTTTTTTAGGTTTTCAGTTAATCTTCACTCAGACATAATCCTCTCACTTACTCCTACATTGAAACCCTGTTTTTTTTTTTGTTTTTTGTTTTTTACAAATTGTCAAATCTTTCCTTCAATGCAATGTGAACTGGGGACTGCAAACATAGTTTAAATTTACTCT